TAAAATTATATATAAATATAATGAAATATATTTAATAGATCAAATTTTAATGTTAATTAAAGATAAATTGTTATTACATGCTACAATTAAAATCTGCTAAAAAATGATGATATTAGATCAAAAATATGAATTTTTATTACGATTAAATATATTATTTATTGACTGTAAGGAAGTTTTTTTTTCGGCTCAACGGATCCGTTACGCTTCCAACGATTTATCGGAAGGAAAAAACCGTCTAGATGGTTGTATTGTAGTTGTTTAGAAAAGGACGTTACCGTGGTTGGTTCTTTGAAAGAAGGTCCACAACCCCTTCCGTGGCAATAGACTAAGTTGCTGGACCAGTGAGGACTATAAGAGCTGCGATGACCAGGCAAGTAGTATCAGTTCTTAGCTCTTTCCTCGTGCAAGGACAGCTCCAATTCTCTCTACAACACTTTTATCCTTTCCTTTTGATTATAAGTAAGTAATATAAATATTTTTCTAAATTTTACTTCAATAAATTATCATCGAATTTCAACTTAAAAGTCACGAAATCGCGTTCCAAATTTTCGTGCTAATCCATGAGAAAGAAATACAACAAGTGATCCCTTAAGGATGATAGCAATTAATAATATTTGTTCAGGTCTAATTCATTGGTTTATTTTGACCTTGGTATTAACAGTTAAATCAAACAAGATGTCTTTTTTCCAATTATTATTCATTACTTTTTTTTTATAATAATCATTTTTTGTAATATGTAGATTCGTTGAATATCAATAATTTATTCATTTTTTAATTACGCCAATTAAATGTCAGGATTATGAAAACTATGGTTTTTTCTTTACATTCTCGCGTTCTCTTTATAATAAAAAAAAAATATCTGTAGAATATTTTATACAGGATTTAGTTCAATTGGTACCTTGAGTTTTGCTTACGTATGTATAATCACATGGTTGCATACGTTGCATACATTACAGATTGATTTATAATAAAGTAGAGTAGTAATTTGTTTCATAAGATATCTTTAATCCTTGATAACATTTAGAAGAAACAAATTAATCAGAAGAAATTCATCATGCTCACGATCTTTGCAAGGTGTTATAAAAAGCTTGAAGAATTTATAATTATTTTCATTGAAAAAAATCTTTATGTTTTTTTGTCTCTTAAGAAAAAAAAACGAAAAAGAAAAATTCCCATTGTTTTCACGTTTTTGATCATTGGGAAAAAGCTCGCATAATTGAAATTTCGTAACACGAAATGGTATCTTTTCCTTTCTCTTTATTCACAATCTTATACTAGATTTATTATACTAGGTTTCTCATAAAGTCTATGGCGTTTAGATAGAGTGGGCTGAATCCGGAAGTATAGTGTATGATTTCATAGTATCTGTTTGTTAGTCAATAAACGTGTATTTGGGTCCTGGTTTAATCTAATACAACGAGTAGTATATAATACCCATGTATGTGGGTATGTAAATTCAACTGTTGCAAAAGCGTAGAAGCAGAGTTCGAGTCAAACTAATTTGGGTTAGATTCGAATGGGTATTTTATATAATAAAAATATCATTCGAATGTGTGTTCCATTCGCCTGTTCACGACTTTGTACTAATATATAATAGTTAAACGTTTGTATAAGTATATATGTATGGATCTATTTACGTACATGTATATGTATATGTGTGTAACTAATTGTAAGTATTCGTTTGGATGTGTGAATGTATTTAAGTATTTGTTTGTTTTATGAATGCATCTATGAATGTATGTAGTATGCTTGTGTATATATGAGTATCCATTTTTCAGTAATAATTCTCTTATTTTAAGCCACGTGATTTCGATGGACATTTACCTCGCACATAAACGTAACTTCTAACATTTTTTCTTCTGTCTAAACAAGTAGAGTAGAATTAGAACGGTTTTACGTTCGTAGAACCTTGCGTATTTCGAGGAATTTATTTCTAAAGAAATTCGTCGATATTATATTTTCTTTTTTTTGTATAATTTTTTTTTGAATTTGTTGATGATCCAGATTTATATTTTCTTGTTAGATAATTCTTACAATAAGACAATAAGATTTGTGATTCTAATTTAAATATTTTGTACAATATTTATTAAATTGTTGAACAGAGCAAATTATTTTTTTGTTTCTAATAAGGAAGTTAATAACAATTATGAAATTCTTATGTTGCATGTAGAAAAATCTTTGTCCGTGTATTTATATTCAAATAATGTTTCTTCTATAAGTTTTGGACTTATTGTTAAAAGCTATTATTAATAATTGAATTTTTAATATTAATTACAAATTTAAAAATTCGAAATAAATTTTAAATATATATATATATACATTAAATACATTTTACATTTAATATTAAATATATTAACGAGAGATATTTATAAGAAAAATGTTATTTTCTCAAAGAATTTCTTTTTGTAAATTTTCATTGTCATAATTGATTAATAAAATACAAGATTAAATGATCCCAATTATTTCTCGAACGCAAAGAATTCGAAGGAATCAACTAAATTACAATGTCGGAACCTATTATGTAGTTGTCCGTGCACTAACGTGATTTTCAGAGCGCAACGAAACTAGATTTTTGAATTTGAGGAGACGCAAACAGATTACAACATTTTAACTGTGCGTTGGAAAGGCGTATCTCGTATGTGCGTCATGCATACCAAGCTTTCTACGAGTTAGAAATATTAAATCTCCTCGAAGTACTATCTATTCTTTTATCGATCGATCCTTGACCGATCGATGACGTAGGTATGCATGCACATACATACACATATACGTCCATTGAATTATATAGTTGTGATAATGATCGAAGGTTTTGATCGTGCACGACTATTTGTAATATATTATAATATATTATTCTTTTCATTTTGTAATAATAAATCACGGTAACGAGAGTAGGTATATAAATTTGATTATAAATTTAAATCAATCATTCTTTTTATCTATATTGTTTTATAATGATTATATAAATATATATAAATCATTTTTTTTCAGGAAAAAAATTTATAATTTTCTCTGTAACAGATAATGTTTTCATATTATATTTTTATATAATTAATAATTATACAAATAATTTGTTTATATATGTATAAGTAATTATACAAATTATTGATCCAAACATATAATCATTCATACAAATAATTAATCTATATATATAGTCAATCACACACATACAAATTAATAATTATTAATTTACTAAAAACAGTTCACACAATCGAGTATATGTATATCTCCTGACTTGTTTTTAAGAAACTTTACATAATTCTGTTTAGCAATAGAAAAGAATTTTGTCAATAGTAAAAAATTATTCTAAAATCTCCTAATCGAAAGAAATCGGCGAAATAACCGTCAAGGAACGATTCGTCGATCAACTTTTCAACTTTTTTCACATTCAAAGTAAATTCGGCCAAGCTAGATCGTTCAGTCATGCAGATCAGCGATTGATAGAGAAATTCTCTGGTGAAATTCAAAAGTCAGATACGAAAGGCTTGTCTAGGAAATAGGAATACTATATAAAAAGAAAAGAAAAAAAAATTATTACACAAGGATTCTCGAACTTTGAACAAATTGAACGATTTCATGTTCAGCGAAGCGACACTTCGATCTTGTTTTTATTATTTTGTATCTTCCTCCTTTTATCTAACTACTTGCACATCGATCTAATATTTTCTCTTCGACAAGTAACTTTAAATAATCAGCGCTCATAGATTATAAAAAAAAAAGAAAAGAATTTCTGTGATGTTACATAAGCAAATAAGAAAGTATTTAAATCTTTTGTCCAACAAAAATTTGCATATTTAAATACATAAAAAGAATTAAAAGTATTTTATATCGAATAATTTAAAAAAAAATATAATAAAAAATATTCTTCTAAATGCGAAATAATATTTTTGCCCAATAGGTGATCATCAAATCTATAAAACAAAATGAAGATTTTCGCATTAGTGTTGGCATTGGCTTGTGCAGTACAATGTGGACCAGCAAAAACAAAGAAACACATACACGATCAAGAAGCAGAGAGTTACGAATACGCATACGCAGCTCAGCCAGAAACATTGTTGTTAGATGCTCATCTTTTGGAAGCGGGTCCAATAGCAGTGCCTAGTAATACTCATTTATCAGAACACCGTTCACATACACGTCCAGGTTATAGCGTGGGTGGTCCTTTGGCAAGTATTGCTCAAGGTGCTGCTGAACAGGCGCACACGCAATTAGGAAATCAACATTCGGCAGCAGGACAAGCGGCATACATGGCTAAGAACACGTTGGCTCAGGCAGCAGCTCAGTCAGCTGCAACAGCTGCAGCAGCATTAGCAGGAAAACAAATCATCCTGATGGGCCTTGAACAACAATCACGAGATGCTCATGTAGCCATTGATGGTGAAAAACTTCAACTTCAACAAGCTCAACGTGCTGCCGCAGCTGCCCAAAACACAGCGCAACAAGCAATGCATCAGGTTCAAGTAATCACTGCAGCTTTGAACGCTGCACAGGCTACTTCCGATCATGCCAATCAAGCTGCAGCCGAAGCTCAAGCTGAATACGCTGCTCAAACTAGCATGGTTGGACAAGCTAAAGCACGTGCAGAAACCATCGAAGAACAACTAAATGCAGCTCGTGTCGATTTCGAAGCAACCCAAGCAGCTGCCCAAAAAGCTGCAAACGCTGCAAACGCTGCTCAATCAAATGCTGCTGCTGCTGCAGCTCATGCCGCGAATGCAGCAGCTGCTAACGTTGCTGCTGCCTCAGCAAACAGTCATTCTGGCGCTGCTCATAGTAATCTCGTAGCTCATCTTGGTGAACCACATACGAACGCTGTACCCGTTGATGCGTTCGATTACAAATCTGCACCCTATCATTATTGATTATTTTATGATAACTTTAGTTATTCGATCTAAACTTTAGCTCGTGACATGTGCTCGACATTTCAATTCTCTTCTTATTTCTTATTTTTTATGTGTAACAAATTGAGCATAAATCAGTCAAATTCTTTCGAATTTTTCCTGATCTTCCTAAGATCACAGTATATATTTAAAAATAAAATATATCGTTAATGCGATCGATCGAAACTTAAATTATAGAATGTAATTGCAACGGGAAACTCTTCGAGGATCACATCTTTACGAAAATAAAATCTTTTTATTCTTCACAAAATTGAAAATTTTTCATTACTTTTAAGTAAATCGAAAAAATGTTTTTATATTCTATTGTTTGTACTATGTTTTTAATTTTATCGGCTAATTTTATTTATACATTTTGCTACGTATCAGTCATTGAAGATATTTTTACATCGTTTACTTTCATTTATGGTAATCTACATTGAAACGCAATAAAACGTTGTTACCTTCCTAAAATAAATTTTATTTTTAATTTTGAAAAAAAAAATCATTAAAAGAAATCACGTATTATTAGATGAATTAATTGTTCATGTTTTATTACTTGTGTAAATTGTAAACATCAAGCAAATACCATGAACCCTTTGTTAGTTAAATATTAAATTGTTATAAATAGTTCCACCTACTACAAAATTTTGTATTTACTTATTTAAAAAAATAATCAGTAAACCTAAATAATGATAAAACCAAAGAGAGTAAAACTATGATCTCGGCTGGATTTTAAGATATAAACCACCTTTCGTATTCAATGTTATGCTTCCTGGTACGAATTTGAGTTTACTTGGTGTTTTAGGTCCTGGTGAATATGTGAATTTCTGTAATGCATTCGTAAGGGCTACTTTTGTTTGCACTAATGCAAATCTCATACCTAAAAAAACATATTCGTTCGTTATAAAGAAAATAAAATTATCAAAATAGGTATTATACATTTTCATTGAGAGTTTCCTATTGCATACAGTATTGTTACATACCAATGCATATCCTTGGTCCTTCCCCAAATGGCAAATAAGTATATTGATGCCTAGTACGAATGTTTTCATCCGTGAATCGTTCAGGTATAAATTTCTCTGGTTTAGGATAAATATCAGGATCATTGTGTAATCCAAGAAGTGGAATAATGATTGGAGTACCTTTGGGTACGACGACATTCGAATTAGGTAATTCGGTATCTTTCAAAGTTTTTCGATTTAGAAAAGGTAATGGTGGATATTTTCTTAATGTTTCTGTAATAAATAAATCCAGATTTATAATATTATTCGAATAATAAATATTATATCATTTACATTATTAAATTGTATACCAACCGCTTACGACCATATGCAGATAAGTCATCTCGTTGATAGCATTATACGAGATACCACCGTGTTTCTCTAAAACCCTATCTATTTCTTCTTGTGTTTTCTTTTGAACATCTGGATTCAAGGCCAATTCGTAAAGACAAAAAGTTACCGTCGAGGAGGAGGTTTCAAAACCAGCCAGAAAGTAAACGAATGCTTGAGCTGCACCTTCCGACATTGTGAATTTTTGTACTTCTTCTGTATTGATAGAAAAAAATAAACACCATAGGTTGAAATGCTAAGTATAATTTGTTTATGTGATATTGATTGATTCTATCTCTAACTGTGACAGTGTTCGTAAGTCCAAAAATTGTGAATTCATTTATTATATATACGATTTATTTTAATATTTAAATTATATATTTATATTGTAAAATAAATCATAAAATAAACTTTGACAATTTTTTGTTTAGCTATCTGTTATAATTATCGGCACAATTACTGGTATTATTGAATAATGGGATAAAGAAAATATTTGTTTATTTATTTATATTAATAAAATAATTGTTTGTGGATCATAAAATTTTCCTTCCCCGTTAAAAATGTAAAAAGTTTTTTGATAAAATGTCTTATATTGATTAATTCACGTGTTTTGAAATTAAAAATTATAATATATAACTTACTCGGTGTATCGTTGACCGAATCAATTCGTTTTTCCTCATCACTTTTAAGGTATCCATTTTTCATTAATTGCATTATCAAGTCAAGAAAATCTTTTCTAACGATGTTATGAGCTTCTCGATACTTTACAGTTTCTTCAAAAGTGCTCAGAAAAAATCGAGACACTCCTTTATCGATAAATGGTATCGAGAATAAATCCAATATTTGAGATCCAAATATCATTAACGTATTTATAATAGGTCTCGGTTCGAACACCTTTTTGCCCCAATAACGAAATTCTGATTTTGGGTTTTCCAAACTATTACAACTTATTCCAAATGCAATAGACATTATGATGTCTGTGAACAAACTGAATCGCACAATGTCTATCAATTTTACGTGATCTAATAATTTATTTCCAACAGTATATATATATAAATATGGAATCGAATAATTTTATTAAATGAAACGTATTCATTTTGTGAAATTAAATTACATGCGTAATATTTTTTTTTTCCTTTTTTTTTTGTTTTTATCAATGGAAAGAAATACAAAAAATTCTAAACGAAGATTCTAAAGAATTTATGCTGACGTGACACATTAACATAAATAGCAAGAAAAATGTTAATTATGTAAGAAGTATATATATATATATATATATATATAATTAGGTAAAAAATTGTATAGAATAATATTTACATTAAATTTACTTACGCGTAAACATACGTGACTGTTAGGTATAATAAATAAATGTATTTAGAATAATGGATTTATCTTACCATGAAAAAATTTCTTTTAAGTCGATTTCATTCTTATCACGAGCTTTTTTTTCTAGAAAATTTTCCAACAAAAGTCCATTCTCTTGTACGGTATCGAACATATGTTTAATTTTTCCTGACGTAAAAGTCGGCGTCAAACGTACGCGCAAATTTTTCCATTTTTGTCCCGGTAAAAAAAACAAGTGTCCTGTTAGCGGATCGACCTTTTCGTTGCAGTACAATCCACGATCGTGGAAACTTGCAAATTCTTTCGTCAACACGAAACGTATCAAATTTGGATCAATGATCACGAGATTTGGTTTAAAAAGTGAGTACACTCCGACAAAAGGATGCGATTTGTTCTTCAAATAAATTTCTCCGAAAACATCGCCTGTAAAAATGATCAAAAAAAAACATTTGTTAAATAATACACATTGATATTAAAAAAAAAAAAAATGGAATCAATAAAAAGTAGCGGATTTTTTGTACAGTTTTTTGTACATTATGTTTTTTTCAAACATAAACTAGTTTTTTTATGTAACATAGATAATTGAAACGCAACTTAGGCATTAGTTTGTTTTTCAATAACTTTGAAGTAAGGAAAAATTAGAAAAAAAATATTTAGAAAAAAATTATTGTTATAACAACATACTAATTGAATAACAGGAAATTAATTATTAATGCAATATTTTACATTAATATAGTAAGTATAAGTTATACAATTACGAGTATTATTTTTTTAAACGTGTAGAAATAAATTTAGATCAGCCAAATATCACTTGAATACAGTACTTTTACTACAAACATTTTAAAATTTTGTTTGGAATTTTATGTGAATCGTTATTTCGCGAATAAATATATTTTGTTAATAAAATTGATACTATTGTTAACAAGAGATACGTTTTCTTAATATTATACTTGATCATGTATTTTTTGTTAAAAACAAAATTATAATGCAACAAAATATAAATTTTATATTGTTGGTAGGTAATATGAACAAATATGTAAGTATTATGGATTGAGAATAAAATTATTTAATTATCAAAATATTTAAGCATATATTATTTAAGTAATATTTTTTATATTAGGAGGATAAAAATATTTTTTATTATCTTATACGATATTGATGCAAAAATTTAATCAATTTCAGATAAAATGTTGATTGTTCTTTTCGATATAGATTTAAATATGAAATAAATCAATAACAAACAAGTGCATACTTTCGGTGATATTTGGTGTTTGCTTTTTTAATTGTAATTACAACACATATTTATATTCAAAATAAATTGTTTCATTTGTTAGAAAGTAACGGGAGTATCGTTTGAGAAATAAACCTTTTATTAATCTTTTTTATAATCGATATAATATTTAATAAAAACTTATTTGTAAATTATTTCATTTTTATTCGAGTTTATAAAAAATTAAACAAAGAATAGTTATTTATGCAATCCGTGATCGAAAATTCATTTTTTGATTACGAGTAGCAGTTGAAAAGCTTCCGATGCCTAAGGTACAATAAAATATGATAGCACAGAGTAATATAATGAAATAATATTTCACAATGTATACTTTTATTTCACTAAAATATATCTTTGAAACATATCAATCGCGTAAACTAGTGACAGTAAATGTTATCCATTCATATGCACAATACATTGAAGAAACAGATTCCTACAAGTCTTTCTTTTTCTTTTCATTTTAGTAAAATAAAATAATACATCGTGAAATAATATTTCATTATAAGATACTTCTATTTATTCCACACACATTCTCGTTTATGCAATTATTTTACAAATAGTATCACCTACAAATGTAACAAATATAGTCATTTTTTAAAATCAAATCTCATAATCAAACGTCCTGATAAGATATTTTTCATGTTGTTTAAAAACTAATGAAGTTATAATCGTAAAGTTTATAGCCAGGTTCCAAGCATTTGTTTTCTTTATCTTCAAAAATATGGGAAAACCAAAATCTTACATCGGATTACAAATTAAAGAAAAGAAAAGATTGTCTTTATTAGATAATATACTTCTATTGGAAAGATTAATTAAGATTTAATTTCATGAGAAAGATAAAATGAGATAAAAGAAATGTTTCTTTGATAGTATCGTTTGATACTTTCTTATATAATGGAAAAATATAAAGTCATTCCTGTTTTCATGAGAAAAAAATTGTCTCTTATATAAATGCAAATGTATGTAATTATTAAGTTAATTATCAAACGAATTATTATATTATAATATGACACGATAAATATTTCTGATTGGAAATTAAATAATAATTAAAATCAACTTCTATATAATTTCTTAATTTACTTAATATAAATTTCACAAATAAATTAATCAAATAACAAATTATGAAGAAATCGAGAAAATCGGTTTGATTTCACAAAAATTTACATATGCAAATATATTTACTGCAAAAAGAAATATCTTGTATCTTTTTTGTCTAAGCAAACCTATAATTATTAACGTTTATTATCTATATAATAGACAATCATCTTCTATGTGTAATATAGTTTGAGATGATAAATATTTTCGATTTTAAATTATGTAACAATGACAACAAAACTTCATATAATTATTGAAAAAGAAAAAAAATGAAATGAAATAATTATTGTATAAAAAGTAGCACAGGTTATGGTATGGGTTTTATTTCCTGAATAAGTAGATATGGTGTGTTGTATACATATTCTTTTGTCTCTAAATAAACATAAAAATAAATGTATAGGAATCATACAAAAATTGAAACTGTATCAATTTTATGAATTAATTGAAAGAAGAAAAACAAGCTTATATTTATCTAATTTGATATTAACTGATACGGATTGATACGAGAAACGATATAAATGAATGCTTGTACTTATCTTATTTTGCAAGATTTATGACAATCATATATTATTTGCGAACAATATGCGTTTCATTTGATAATCATAGAAGATATAACACGGAAAAATTTATTAAAACTGCATACGATATAAGATTAGGTGTTTCTTAAAACAACAACAAAAAAAGCACGCTTTATAATAATAAAAATGATTAATTTTTTTGGTTTTAATATAACAATTAATTTCAATAAAAAAGAAAATGAAAGGATAATTTACCAATCGCTCTTTTTTTGAGAATCAATTCGGTGAGATTTCCAGTGGGAAAAGTTGGTTCTTCGTAAAATACATTTCTCTTTTTCCAAAAATTGTAACAAATTAATTTAAAATACAAATATATCCCGGTTGCAATAAGAAATAAAACACCAAATAATTCAGAAAATATCCAAATGATACTCATAATGATTATTATTACTGTCAATATCTGTTTATTGTAATTTTACATAAAACTGTCACAAATCTTATTTTTTTATTACAAACTGATCAGTGCACTGTGAACAGGTGAATGTAGGAATGACTCAAGAAATGTTTTGCTTCTTCATTATATAGGATAACGTAAAGTATATATTTTTGTCTTCATTATCTATGATAGTAAGCATGTAAGCCTATTATAACTATTTTTTGAACGGATTCGTGTAATTTTTTTTTTGTAAAAAACCATCTTATACATATCCTACATGTCCAAAAAGATGGTGATTTTTACCGCCTTTCTGGAGTCAAAATCTCACATGAATTTTCCTCATTCATATACTAATGTTATCAATCATTGTTTGACTGTAATGATCTGACGAAAATTGTTTTATTCAATGCGACTCTTTTTCACTCTCATCTCTCTCTCTCTTTCTCTCTCAATTTTAATTTCAATAATATTTTCTTAAATTGTATGATGTTAGAGTTATTTAAATCTCTTATACTTTTTTTATTAATTAATATGTGATAGCGAATAGATATAGTAAAAATTGCTGAATCATTTTATTATTACTATTTGTTATTTTCTAAATGATAAGCAATCTTGTAATTATCTCTTTTTTTCAAGAAATTAAAATTTTCTATCACGTAACTTAATATGTATAATTTAAAAAATATCTTGTGTAATTGTAAAATTTATATAGATAATATGCAAATATTATGACCTTAAAAAACGAAAATGGCAAGATGGATTTTCTACAGTAAGTATATTTTTTTGATAAACACAAAAGTATTTGATTCTAATCGTAGTTACAAAAAAAAAAATCAAAAATGAAATAAAAGATAAAAGACTAATTTACCTATGGTTTTTTTATTGAGAACCAATTCGGTGAGATTTCCAGCAGGGAACGTTGGCTCCTCGTACGGTACATTTTTATTTTTCCAAAAATTGACAACAAATAATTTAAAATATAAATACATTCCAGTAACGATAAAAAACAAAGCACCGATAAGCTCTGATAATATCCATCCGCTTATCATAATTGTTATTGCTGTTAATTTGTTTTATTTTAAGCACGGAAATTGTATTCTGCAAATCGTATTTTATTTGATACAGATTGAATATGCAAACAGATGTATCGCGAAGAGACGATATTCTAAATGATTTAAAAAGTATCTTACATCTTCTTTATATAGGAAGTGGCATTAAAAAAATATGCTTATATAAAAAAATCAAGCAGCTTATTAGTATCACTCAGGACGTTTTGTTGTTGATGTGCCTCTCGATGTTTTTCCTTCTCTGTTTTCTTATTCTTCGTAGTTACTTCTTTTTACATCATTTTTTTATTTATAACTTATACATGATAGCTAATTGCTATAGCAAACACTTTGTTATTTCCTCAAATAAATCAGTCATTTATAAAATGCAAACTGATTTGTAATAATATTATTTTTTAATAAATGCAGAACTTCAGCTCGTAATATAAGATATATCATTTGTAATACATCTTAGAAAAATGTATCTAGAACAAATATGTTCATCACATAAAAAATGGTAAAACGAGATTAATTATACAACATTGAAAGAATAGAAAATCATTTATTTATTCGCATATGTGTATCGTTTAAAAGATACATTTTTCCATCAAATCAGTACAAATTATTGCGTTAAAACTTTTTCTATAATTAATCAAGGTGGTTAATGAGAAAAAATATAACATTAAACATTTTTTTTTAGTATCTAATTAATATTTCTTTTCATCACTTCACTTAGTTTTTCCACTCGAGATCATTCGTACTTCTATATTACTATTAATTTCAATTTATATACTTTGTCTTTAAATTCTCTGTTAATGACTATTCATAAAAAATAACTTACAATGAGTAAAATGATCAATCAAGAATATATTCATTTTTTTATTACTCGATACATTGGTTATTACTTAATCAGAAAATTTATACAGGATCATTATAGAAGATAATAAAAAAAAAACGTATGTATAAATCACGAGAATCAACGTTTTTATCTCTGTGGTTACAATTTATTCCAAGAATTTCAATAAAAAATAATTATTTCTTGAGGTTATATTAACGATTAGTAATAGTTATAGATGACTTATATTATCTTTCGAAATTTATACGCTTTAATAATTATGAATAAATTTTTAAGAAATAGAGTTTTTTATATAGAAAAAAAAAGTATCAATTTAAAAAATTTGTTTAAATAGTGTATTATAAATAGTATTGATAATCGACAAAACAAATTTTGTAATTGCATTTATCATTAAAAATAAATTAATGAAAGTTTTGAAGTTAACATGTTCGTGGTGTCATTACTTGAACTTTTACTTGTGTATATGTCGCTGGAAAATGATGCAAATGGAAATTTGATCAAATCTCTAAGGTCAATTCACGGAAGATGTTAAAATAACAACTCTGTGCAGTGATTTCTTCTCTATGAAAACAGAGTTTAAATGAGATCAGGTGACTTAATTTTTCAAAGTAGTTAATTGAATTTTAATTCTATATGATTCGATGGGTTCAATTTAAAGGCATATTAATTGATGATTTTTGTTAAATCGCGATGACCGGGTAATTCTAAAGTATTATTCTCATTTTCGGAGAAGAGAGAATGGTTAGGCTGATCTTCGAAAAAGGGGGCAGTCTTTGGACATTTATATGTTACCGTCAAAGTGGGAAATCGAATTATTGAGTTCATGCATCATCTCCTTGTGCTTTACCCTAAGAAAGTTTTGGAGCTAACACAAGCTGTTCTAAGCGAATTAAACAACGACATTTCTTTTCTCATCCAGCACCTTCCGATAAAAGAAATTATGCATGGTGACAATTGAATGCGCTGTTGGAATGAGAGGTGGAAGTATGTATGCGAAAAAATGAATTTACCGGTAAGCGCAACAGTGGTCAAACAGAATAAGTGGATTCCTGTAGTTGTGCATAAACCACGAGGTGTAACGATTAAATTAAAGACACGATTGCAATTTGATGATATAACAATAAGATTGACTTATTAAAACTTGCAAATTTAAAATTAATTAAAAATTTGTTGGAGTAAGGAAGAATAATTCCGCCGCTCCGTAGTTAAGTGAAAAAAAGTTTATTTATACTGAAATATACTTAAAAAAATTCTAACGCGTAGCAAGATCTTCATATACAGAAAATAAGTACAGTGGACTCATTGAACAATAAATTTAGAAGAAGTGTACGAAGTCGTGATCTAACGTTTAGAAGAGAATTTAGTATAAACTTGAATTTATATAGAATTTACTTATGTTAGAACTAATGTCCCATGTGTGTGAGAATACAGTTCCTGAGAAAGCAATGTTTCTTTCAACCAGTATTTATATTCTTATTGTAGTAGCAATTATTATTGAGATATTGCATAACAGATGTATAAAGAACTTTTAAAGACATGTTGTTATGAATAAGTAGCTGTGATTATATATATCCGTCTGCTTGTAGCGTCTGGTGATGTCGTAGAAAGAAATGATTGACAGAAAAAATAAGTGAGTCTCCGAAGTGACGAAAATTACTTTTAACATTTTCTGGAGTGATTAACGGGTCAAGTTCTTATGTAACAATACAATATTCTTTGATAGTATATACAGTATAGTTATATTGTAAGAAAATTGAAAATAATTATATTTAATTTTTAGTGTCTAAATACGTGTGTGCCTTCAGAAATGCATTTTTTATACATATATATATATTTTAAAAAGTAGAAGAAAATCAAACGAGTAAATGATAAATCCAACGATGATCACCTGTAAAAAAAAGAAAACTATATTAATCATACAATCAAGTGATACAATAGCCTGACATATAAATCGTCCCATTCGCAGATGCACTTTTCAATTAAATTCTCTATTTATTTTTATCAAATCTCTATATTAATCGTTGCAATGAAATTAAATTTAAACGCGTGATTTTACAATTACATAAAATATATAAAAATAAAGAAATAGGAAAAGTACAAATATTAAGTTACTACAAAAAATACACTATCTATTAATTATTATGAAATACTTTTAAGCTACATTATATAGAGAAGAAAAATTGCAAATTTAATAAAATACGATCAAAATGACAAATTTTAAAGACGAAACAAAGTAAGTAAAGAGACAGTCATGTAGAAAAATCATAAATTAATAACGTATCAAAATTGTTTTCTATTCGAAGTACTTTAATAGGTATGTAGTATTTAAAACAATGTATATACATTGAAACTAATCTTAAATATAAGTAAAGTGTACTATAATATTAAAATAATTGTAAATTAATCGATAGAAATGAATACTGTAACGTAAAATTAAGTATGTACCTGCTGATGAGCCTCCCTCTTCGAAATCTTCTGCTAGACTGAGATGTTGTCACATAATAAAGTTTTTTATATCGACAGTTGTTTATATGGCTTTTTGA